CGAGTCGGGACAGTCGGGAGGCCAAGGAGCAATTGCCACGCAGCCCACATCAGCTTCGGTGTCAGGTACCTTCTGTCGTGGGTCAGTCGGTTGTGGGCAGCCCGAACGAATTGCCCAAAGGAATACTGGTTCAGAGCTTCACCCCCTCAGCATCATCACGTTCAATGGGAACAGTTGGCACGGTGAAGCTGCAGATGATGGATCTTCCAATGTCAAAGGTGGTGGTTTCTCGGAGCTTGTCAGAACCACGAATGGTGATGTACTTCTTTTTCAGGAGCACAAACTGGCAGGTGCGAGGCTTTCACGGACCCGCTCACGGCTTCAAAGGCAAGGCTGGCGAGTCTATGCGGGAGAGTGCATCACCAGTTCGGAGACAGGGAGACCCAGCTGCGGCACGATGATCCTGGTCAGGAAGCATCTCGACTCTTGGGTACCACCGTCCTCCCCTCTATCTCTCTACGATGGGCGAGTTGTGAGAATGTTCTTCCGTTCTTCCGAATTTGGCATTGTGGCGCTCTACTCTGTCTATCTTAAGGATTCTCTCGGATACAAAGGGATGAATGTGGGCATATTGAAGACAGTATGGGAGGACATCTTCGATCATGGACTCCCGTTCTGTATTGGCGGAGATTTTAACATGGGACCCAGTGAGATGGCCAGCAACGCCCCACTTGTGCAGATTGCAGGAGTTGTCAGGGCTCCATTGGCATCCACGTTTGTGGCTCCTGAAGCACTTTCAGTCATTGACTACTTTATCGTCAGCAAGCATTTAGATTTTGCAGCAGGACAGGTATTCACAGATATTGATGGCTCGTACAGTCCTCATCGGCCAGTCTATTTTTCTGTGAAGAGGGCTTTGAAGGATATCTATGTCAAAGTCCCTGTCAAGTTTCAACATGTGCCACCTGTTGCTGCAGTGGGTCCTGCTCCAGCTCCCCCCAGCTATGATCTGATTGTGCAAGACATCGAAAGTTTCCTCCTTCCTCTGCAAGATGCTGATGGAATTTCTTACATGGCCACTGGTGCTGATAAATCCCAGGGTGCTCTTTTACTGGATCGTGTGTACGATCATTGGGTCTCTCAGGCCTGGGGTGAAATCCTGGACGTGTGTCAAGCTAGGGACTCGCCTGGGCTCCCTGGGGGATCTGACTTGCAGTTCAAGGATAAGCCTCTCAGGTCGCTTCTGGTTACCAAACAGTACGAGAACGCTTTTCCTGGACGAGCTTTGGAATGGGTCCTCCACAGGCTCCAAGAATTGAGATCTCTATTTCTTCGAGGCGGTAGGGAAGGCTATCTCTTGGGACTCCTGCGTCAATGGCAACGGCTTCCAGTTCGAGGGGGTCCTTTCAGGAGGCACTGGAAAGCTGGGGGCGAGTTCTGGCATCCAGTACTGGCGGTATTTGCTCGTGAGCTAGTTGGCACACCACTCTTGAATACTATCATCGATCGTATCGACGCGTTCCTGGTTTTCGTCGGCCTGTGGGCTCGTGTCGGGCTCGTCGAAGACAGATCCAGGGCCAGGGAATCGTGGAAAGAATGGTGCGCCGAAGCAGTAGGTGGACATATGAAGCAGGCGTTCGCCTTCCTGCGCAGTGGAGAACCAGTGTCCGAAGAAGTTGTCTCGGATAATGGAGTGTATTCTAGTTCCCTACCTGCTCGGCTGGCTGCTGAAACCAAAGTGTGGAAGGCGGCGTGGAATGCAAGCGACGTTCGAGTTGAGCTACCTTCCTTCGACCTTCCAGAGGGGAGGATTCCAGTGACGGAGCGTGTAGCTCCTGAAGCTTTGCGGCATATCAGTTCCCGTTTCAAGAGACAGACATGTACCCCTGATGGGTTTCATCCAAGACACTACTCATTGTTATCTGATGGTGCGCTTCTTGCCCTATCGTGGTTGTATCACCTGATCGATGTTCTGGGTCAGGGACCTTCCAGGATTCAGCAACTCATTGTATTTCTTATGAGTAAACCAGTGAAAGGGCGCCGACCTATTGGGCACTACTGTGGGTTTGCGAGGCTCCACGGCAAGACTCACAGGAACCCATGTAGATCCTGGGAATCAAAAATTGGATTGGGCCCTGAGTTTTCCATGGGACAGGGCCGCAGCGCCCTTGACACGGTGTGGCGTCAGTCTGTGACGGCAGAGTTGTATGCGGGACAGAAGATCCACTATGGGGCCCTCATGTGGGATTTGCTGCAGTTCTACGAGCACATATGTCATGAAGAGCTCCTCCAGCAAAGTATCTTGTCCGAGTTCCCGTTGTACATACTCTTATATACTATATCGACGTATCGGTGGAAGAGAATTCTCCTCCTTGACGGGGGATATGGTGAACCCCTGTTCCCTCGGCGAGGGATTGTAGCGGGGTCCACGTCAGCCACCTACGAAGCCAAGTCGTTCCTCCTCCCCACCATTGTTGCTCACAGGGGGCACGATAGTACGGGTATGAGCTTACATGTCGATGATCTCTCTGTGCATGCATGGCATCAAAATGTAGAAGATTGCGTTCAGCAATTACGAGACCTTGCGACCAGCTTGGCCTGGACCATTTCGCAGAGTCTGCAGGTGCCCCTAGCAGAGAAGAAGATGTTTGCCACTGCCAACAGCTTGACCCTCTTGACCATGATCAAAGGTAAGCTAGGGACACTCGCAGGACAGGGCACTGTTGCACCAGCCAACCTCGGAGTGGATTTCGCAGGTGGGAAGCACCAGCTGCGGCCGTTCGCCCGCCTTGTCATGAAGAAGAGGACCAAGAAATTCAAGTTTCGGATCGCTAAGCTCTCGGGCCTCAAGGTCTCCACGAAGCTCAAGAAAAGGCTCTTCAAAGGTGGGATCCTCCCAACGGTTTCCTATGGGCTCGACATCCAGGGTGTGTCTCCTAAGGAACTTCTATCTATTCGGAGGTCTGCTGGGCGAGTCTGTGGGATCAGTAAGAAAGGTTGCAATTTGGACCTCCTGTGGGCCATTGAGGGCAAGGGCGACCCCATCGTGCTGGCAGGTGGTTGCGTACGTAGATACTGCTGGGAATGGTGGCACAGTTCTGAAGTGAGTAGGCACGGGAGCCCTAGGCATCAGGACGCGCTAACCCCAGGTATTTTAAGCAAAGCGTTTCACTCGTGTGTCGAAGTCTTCCAAGGGACTCGGGGAAAACCCTGGCTTTTTCGGACCCGTGGGCCGATCTCGGCCATGCTCCTCTGGCTAGAAGCTGGAGGATGGACCTGGGAGGGTCCCGCGGTGTTTCTGGATCGGTCTGGGCGACGTTGGACTTTGACTGAATCCCCCCCGTCTCAGATTGGGGAAAAGTTTGTGGCCGATCTGGCCCAAGTGTTCCTTGACAAGTTTGTCACCAAGGGTCTTGAGACCCACTCGCATCCTGGGAACCAGGACTTGATTGCTCGTGGGATCTGGCTTCCCCTCTTGCAGCGTGTTGCCAGGAAATTAAGCAGTCAAGCGAAGCACTTGTATCTACAAGTATTATCAGGTGCCTTACCGACTGGAGAGACCCTCAGGAGATGGGGCTACGAAGTCGACTCCTCGTGCCCGATGTGTGGAGCAGGACGGGACACTCTGAGGCACAGGTGCTGGGAATGTCAGCACCCTGATATTACACGACGCCGAGATGAGCATTTTGGAACCGAGCTTGTTCAGCAGGCTTTAGAATGTGATGAAAATATTCTCATTTTTTCCAGGCTGTGGCCAGCGTATCCTGATGTGCCCCCACCAAGCAAGGACTGGTGTTTGCAGTTTTTCGGTGCCCAGGGCGAACCTGTCGATGCATTTGTGTTCGGGCCCGAAGCTAGGCTCTTCACGGACGGCTCTTGCTTCCACAACACTCGGCCCGAAATCGCCAGGTCTGGGGTCTCCGTTGTCGAGTTGAATGACGACGGGACCTGCAGGAGGGGAGTCTACAGCCCTCTCCCCAGTGAATATGCCCAGACCCCAGGGGATGCGGAGCATGCTGCCCTGGCCCTAGCGGTGCTGAGGCAAGAACGTGCCATCGAACCTCCTCCCAAGGCCATCTCCGTGGACTGTTCGGCTTTGTTTTTGGGTGTGAGGTCTCCTGGCAGGGCCCTGGGGGGAGGTTCTCGGAGCAGCTTTTTCTGGAGGTCCATAGCTAGAGACATCGGTACTAGCAGTTGGATCTCTCTTCGCAAGGTAGGCGCCCACCGGAAGCTCCATGACGCGGTGGACGAAAGCGATGCGCGGGACATTCAAGGTTCTACGGCCGCCGACCACTGGGCGAGGCTTGGGGCTCGGGCCCACGACATCTCGCCTCAGGAGTTTGCCGATTTTGAAATTGCGGAGGGCGAGTATGAATCTTTAGTTGTAGGTGTCCTCGACATTCTATGCGGTTTCCCTTCCTGTGAAGCCCAATTTGGGAAGCTGAAGCGGCCCCATCGGGCCATGAGGCCTCCCCGTTTGAAATCTGACCATGTACCAGTTTGGCACGGGAATATCCAGCGATGTCAACGTTGCCTGCGTCAGGTATCCTCGAAGACCCAGACCCCGTGCGGTACCCTGAACCCTGCTCTGTCGGACCTCCTCTGTGGAGGCGGGGGCTCGGGGCATCACCTGCATTGGGCCCGAGTCGAAGAGAGTGATATGCCTGTAATTTATTGCGTATCTTGCGGAGGGTTTGCCACTAGCCGTGGCAGCGCCCTCCTTAGTTTAGCGTGTGAGCCCCCTCGCAAGAGCTCGGAGCGCTCCAAGCTGTTACGGGGGCTCCTTCCTGGGACCAAACACAGACTGGGCCAGTCGTTTCCCCTTTCCTCCCTTCCCTTTTTTCCTCTTCCCTCCCCCCTGCCCGCCCCTGCCTCGTCCTCCACGGCTGGTCCCAGTTCTGTTGGTCCCCCCGTTTCGTAGTCGGGCGTCGGCCGCTCATGAGTGACCAGACGCTGCGGAGTCTTGGAGTCTTGGAGGAGACGGAAGAGGGAGATGGGGAGGAGTGGGGGGAGGGGGAGGAGGAGGGGGTGGGGAGGGGTTCGAGTCAGCAGCCACCCAGGTGGCCAAGAAGATGCGCACCACCTTCAAGGCCAACCGACCGATGACGTTCGTCCGCTGAACTGGCCCGGGCCCGTCGGCTCGGCGATCCGCGAGGAGCTTCGAGCCAAAGGCGTTCCACAACCACCTGTCGTTTTCTCTCGGTGTCTTCTCTCGCTCTATCTGTATATACATATACATATACCGTTGGCGATCATGTGTTGCTGCTCATCTTCATTGTTCGTCCTCTTGATTCATTATCATCGTCGCGTCCTCTTCCGAATGCCTCATCCCGTACCTCCTCCATATCCTCCTCGTCCGTCCTCATCATCATACCTCCTCTTTATGCTCCGCCTCCCTCATCTCCCCTTCCCCTTTTGTCTACCCCCTCCCCTCTCCCCCTCCAAGTTGAGAGCGCGTGCATTTGTCCGTGTATGTACCCAAATATGTTCAAGCTCCACAGCATTGTCTGGTTGGTTGTCTGATTGTCCACCCAGGCTTTGCACAGGGCCGAGCAGCCGATAGGCCTGCTCTCGTGGTTCGCTCGCTCCTACTCCTCCCTTGCCCGTCTCATTCCCATCATCCCAAAGTCTTTCTCCACGATGACCCCCCTGCCCCCACAGACATCTGCTACTCCTGCCCCTGCCCTTCTTCTGCCCCATCCTCTTAAGCTTCCTGCTCGCCTTTCCGATCCATCCACTCCGTCTGCTTCCCTCTGCCCTCATCCCTCCCCTGGTCCAGTTTCCCCCTTCTCCCCCACCCTCCCTCACTCCCCTCCCCATCGAGTCCGATCCCCTTCCTTCGCCTCTCCTCCATCTGTCCCTCCACCCCATCCCTCTCTCCTCCATCCTCCCTCCGCCGTTGTCCCACGTGGGACCTGCACTGACGGGGCTGTTATAGTTCATCCATGCAGGGGTCGATGTGCCAGGCGCTGATCTGGGTTGCTTGCTGCCAGCCCCTTCCTGGAAGGGCCAGGAGGACGAGCAGCACCAGCGGGAGGACCAGAAGGATGAGGGGTAGGGGTAGGAGGAGGAGGAGGAGGAGGAGGCGAAGGAGGGACAGTTCCAGCCCCGCCTGGCGCCCTAGCCAGTGCTAGCCTCTGCCTTGCCCCAGTGGCGCCACGGCCCTGCGTAGTGCAAACGCCAATTGCCGAGGTCACCGTGACTCTCAAGCCAGTACTGATCGGGACCCACGTACTAGTGCTCGTCACTGGCGGCGATGGTGCAGGCAACACGCCCCAGAAAGGGGTGCGTCGAGTTGCGCTTTGTATCAGATTTCAGCGCAGAAGCAAGAGGAGAAGACGGAGGAGGAGAAGAAGGAGGAGGAGGAGGAGGAGGAGGAGGAGGGGGAGGGAGAGGGGGAGGGGGATGTGGAGGGGGAGGATAACGAGAAGGACGAGGACGAGGAGTGCGAGGGGGCGAGGGAGGGAGGAGGGGAAGGAGCAGGACGACGACGAGAACGTGGAGCGTCCTCATACTCCTGTGTGCTCGTCGCTCCCCTCGTCCTCCTCGGCCTCCTCCTCCTCCTCCTCCTCCGTGTTATCCTTCTCGTTATCTGTCAGTTCCCCCCCCCTTTTTGTGGCAACGAAAAACTTACGCGCTGCCAGTTACAGCGCATTGCGCATGTACAATGCATTCTTCATTATGCATGGAGCGAATCAAAATGAGGATCGCTAAGCGTCCCTCGGGGTTCGAACTCAAGCCACCGCCTCCGAGCGAGCTCCGCCGCCGCTGGCGCAGGCTCAAAGCATCCTGGCTAAACGTGGGCCCTTCTCGACGCGCGAGCGCTGGGCCATCTCAAAGTCACGCTGGCGCCATGGCCGCACGTGTTGTGCATGAGGGCATCACGTCCTTCGAGCGGGCGTCCAGAAGCGCTCTAGATGCGCCGTTTATCCCCATTGCACATTCACTGCACCTTCATAATTGTTCCCCACGGTATTCACATGTTGTTTAGTTGTTTGCGCACCTAGGCGTCACCGCCTCGCCAACGTGAGTCAAGATGCTGTTCTCGATCTGAGTAGCGCGAAGCGCGGCTCAATTACGATCCAAGGCGATGCCCACGCGAAGAAGGTGGCAGTAGACTCGGAGGCGGACTATTCGCGCGCAGTGCTGGGCACGTGCGCCCGTGACCTCGAAGGTTGGATGAGGCTGCGGAGTTGTTGTGCCAGTATGCTGGACTTGGCGATCGCAGCGTTTGTGCGCGACGGTGCGAAGCATCGTGGCTGTTTCGGAAGACGTTGCCCTTGCCCGTGTTGTTAATGGCAATGCTAGTGGTCAGGGGACGCTCCAGCTTGTTCCTTGGTTTGACTCTCAGGCGACATTCCTCCAGAAGTTCTACATCCGCTTAGCGATACGATCACTGCGGCGCCCGCTGCGATGGTCATCGACCACGGAAACACGGCGGAGCTTGCACCACCGAGTCAGCCGTTGGCTTCCCCCTCCTCCCCCAGCGATGATTACCTCGACACCGATGGGATGAAGGCTCATATTCGGCGATATCGTGATATCAAATTCTCTCTGGTCTTCAGATCTCCGATGCTGGGTTCTGGAGCTCTCGACAATCTTTCTCGCGGGCCGTTGCTTGCTCATTGTGGGTCGCAGGGTCCGAAACGAGACCTCAAAGAAGCCCAACCTTGGGTGAGTTGCCGTCTGGATGCGAGTATTCATTATGCCGCAAGTGCGTGCGCAGTCACCCGGCGCATAAGACTCGCACGTCTACATGATCGACTCCTCCTCCTCCTCCTCCGCCTCCTCCGCCTCCTCCGCCTCCTCCGCCTCCTCCTCCTCCTTTCTCGCCTTCTCTGTAGCCGTTTTGGCGCAAGTCGGTCCAACTCCCCCGCTTGCCTGGCAGCAGGCCTCCCCCGCTTGCCTGGCAGCAGGGGCCTCGCCGCGCGACCGCCCCAAGGGGCGTTCCGGGCGCTCCGGCGCGGGTGCCAGCGCACCCCTTGCGACGCCTGGGCCAAGGTGTTCAACCCCGCGATGATGCAGGCGGCGCAGAGGATGAAGCTAGAGGACATGCAGCGCACGTCACGGATGGCGGCCAGCATGAAATTGATGAAGGACATGATGAGGAACAAGGGCGCGCCTATCGGCTTCGACGTCTCGCGGATTGCTCAGGCCACTGAGGATATGAAGAGCATGAGTCCGGAACAGCTTCAGGCGGGCATAAGCCAGGCGCAGAAACAAATGAACAGCCAGCAACAGTACATCTGCAACGCAGCCGTGATGCTGAAGAACGAGGGGGGACGCGCATGTGAACGCTGAGCGATATCTGGAGGCCCGGCCACACTATTCCAAGGCTTTGGATATTCTCAAGGCCCGCATCGGAACCGACATCTCGGCACTGACGCTGAGTCTGCTGAACAATTCTGCCCTCTGCCGCCTGAAGACCAGGCGGTTGGGCGAGGACTTGGGAGTCCCGCGAGGAGGCCCTCAAGGTGTGGTGCATCACCTCACGGTCCTGTGCAGAGCGCCAGGGGGCGCTATCCAACGCCGAGCTGGGGTTCATTTTCCCCTGGAGGGTGGTGGGCACCCCCAAGAAACAGATTGAGCTTCGGCCCATTAGCGTGGGCTCGGTTCTGGTCCGAGCACGGTTGTCAGCGCTGACCAAGGGTATGCCACAACCTCTTAATAATCAGTACGCAGGTCGCCTCAAGACTTCGGTTGTCCACGCCATCTCGCCCTGGCTCCACGACTGCGAGTCTGCGAAGGCTGGGGCGGAGCTCGACCTGAGCAAAGCCCATGACAACATCGACTTTGCGGCTGATGCCCAAAATTGTATTTGTAGTGGAGCCCCACCTGTGGTGACCTTCGCGGCGCTCGCTGCTTGGCGGGGGCCGAAGCATTGCTGTGTGGCCCAAGAGCCGGCGCCGCATATATTGCCAAAGTGGGGATTACCACAAGGAGACCCAATTGCCCCGAGTGTGACGATATCGCCATTGACACCGCGCCAGCCATACCAGGGAACGCGCTACCAGGGAGAGCTCGCACCACCACTGGATCCGTGCCGAGGCCTACCCCAGGGCGACAGCACGGCACCTTGCACACTCATACCGACGCTTGTACCATGGCTACCGATATCACAGGGACACGCTTTTATGGATGACAGAAGCCTGGTAGCTCAGAATACATACGATCTCGACAGGGACTTGCAGATGACACAGTAGTTCGACACGTCTATCGGGTATTGCGAGAACCAGACTAAAAGGCAACGCTGGAATATAGATGACCCTGTTCCTGTCCAAGTGGAACATCTGGGCATTCTTGCTACTCCTACAGACCACACCGTCCCCATCATCCCGAGGGGCGGGTGGCAGAAGCTCGAGACCGCCATCTCAGTGCTGGCCGCCATCCCAGGCAGCCACCAAGTACGACTCAGGTTGGCCTTCGCATATGTGATTCCGCTTTGGACATGGGCGCTGCCTATTGTGACACCGCCACCAAGACGATTTGCGAGACTACTGTGCAGACCTCTTTGGAAGACGGGCTCGCGATGGTGGTGTTTCGGACGCTATGGGGCACAAAACGTATTGTTGCATCCTGAACATTCAGCTGCGATTCTTGGATTTCGAAAGTTAGTGGGTGAGAGACTGGCGTGGAGTGATTTTCTGGACACGACTCTCTCAGAGTACGCTCGAGTATTGGGATTATCCTTTATTCGTTATTCGCCCACCCAGGGCGCTATTCTTGAAGTGGATTCGCGTGATGATTTCAGAGTCAGGCACGCAGTGGAGCATGTAGTGGGCGACGACTGGAGGTTCACCACGAACAGCAAGGCCGCCCAGCATGCTCTTAGAAGCATAGCACGCATCAGATGCCTCCAGCAGGTGGTGCGAACGAGATACGACGCTGAGGAGATTGACGACGTTGACGTGCAGGCATCTTCTTAGCAAAATATATTCTAAGTGGTTCTTGAGCTCGAGTGAGGAAGAACGCGCTCTTTTGGCGGTCTTCAGATCGGGGGCGGTCACCTCCGAGACACGACGACGCACTGGATTTGATTGCAAGCATTGTGGGGCATCGACCCCAAGTTTTCGCCGCGCGTTCGCTGAGTGCCCCAGGCATGCCGGCGATCGACGAGCAGTGGAAGACCGCTACGACATACCCCCGACGTTCTGGACAAACGTGCCGGGGGTGACTAGTAAGAGTGGCTGGATTGTTGTATCACAAGATGATTGTCCTCATGTACGTGCGAGAATGCTCACGGCGACCTGCGCCCTTGGCTTGAGCATTCTCAAGAAAGGAGTTGACGACGTGCTCACCGACCCCGCGCCGCCACCTCGAGCGCGTGGTCCGGCGAGGCTTGTTCACTTACATGTTACGTATGAGATTATCCCATAAGGTCAGGATGTGTCATTCAATTTTTCTCTCTTGGCGATCGGTCCATCACGGCAGCTACAGTTGAAGCCCTCGACGCCGACCTCGCCTACACGCAGTCCTCCGACGTGGCAGTAGGCTTCGAGGAGAACCAAGCCAAGAGGCAACGGTGGACTCGCTCAGATGACCCGCCAGTGCTGATTGAACACCTTGGGGTGGTGGCGATGCCAGTTGACCCCACCCTTCCGATCTGGCCTCGTGCTGGTTGGGATAAGTTGAACGCCGCCATCCTCGCCCTGTCCTCGTGTCCAGGTACCGCAGCAGTACGGAGATGGTTGGCTGTCTCATGCATTTGCACCTTATGGTTGCGGGGGCTACCTCTGTTGGCTCCGCCCCCTGAGCTGACCTGCAGGACACTTCCAGAGCGGTCACCGATGCCAAGAATACGTGGTGGTGCTAAGGAAGATGGTGGGCCCAACATATCAATTTTCACCCGCAGATGTCGGGTACCCTACACGTTTTCAAGGTGGTCGTGGACGAGCGGTTCTGCTGGTCCACCTTCTTGGGGGGCGCGATGGATCGGCATGCGGCCGTCATGGGCTTTTGTTTTCTCAGATGCGCAGCTGGTCGAGGATGCCTCCTGTGCGTGGACGAGCACGATGATCATCGAGTGCTGAAGCTTTGTGGAAGCGACGGGGCGAGAGTTCTGGACGCACCGCCCCGACGAAGTGAGGCGCAACAAGCGCATCGAGCACGTGCCGAGATGCATTGCATGAGTTCGGCGCCTGGTCATGGTCAATGACAAGCGGGCGGGCGCACCTGAGTTCCCAGGCGCGGGTGTCGATGCGGAGCCCAGCTCATCTTTTCAAGAAGCTCCTCGCGCTGTTGTCGGAGGAGCAAGAGGCATCCTTGAATATTTCGGCATGGGCCATAGCTCCAGAGACACGCCGAATAACAGAGTTGCCTTGCAAATGCTGCCAGGCCATGAAGCCCTCGTTTAGACGCGCGTGGGCTGCGTGCCCGAAGTACTTACGATTTCGACGTGCCTTTGGCGAACGCCGCGGACTGCCTGATCTGTTTTGAACGTCGGCCCCTAGGGCGCGGGCAAAAAATGGATGGGCGACCTTCAGCTGCCACCCCAACCCAGGATGAGGACAACCATGCTGGTCGCCGCTCGTGAGTTAGGGATTTAGATATTGGGGGGGGGTCTCGATGAAATGTTGCATCCATCACCGCGTCGGCAGGCTCTTCTTGATGCTGCTGATCGGGGCCTCGGCGGTGGATCGCGTTATCAGCGATTGGGCCCCTCCAGAGCTCGGGCCCTCCATTCCCCGTCTTCTTCTTCTTCAAGGTCGACGCCAGAAACTGCAGGGCCTTCTTCCGCACGCGGCGGGCCCAGGTTTGGATAGAGGCACCCTCGCGCAGGCAGGCGCTGGGCGCGAGGGGCAAGGCGCCGCGTCGCAGCCCTCCGACGAGGCCATAGGCGCAGACCCCGGAGCAGCTGCGGACGCGCCCGCAGGAGAGCGGCACCGACGAGGCCGGCAGGAAGTCGGGCGCGTCTCTGCACAGGAGGAAAATTTAAAAATGGTAGTTGTGTGTTAAACAGAAATAGTCTGGAGGCGACGATTTGATTATATAGCGCTGATGATATGAGGGCGTTCTTTAAATATTTCATTTCGCCCAAAATCCGCTTGCACGGGGGCGCGCCCGACCTAAGGCTGGCCTGAAGCGGGAGGGGGGGCGCGAGATGCTTGCCGCGCGGCAGGAGCAGGGCGGCCAGCCAGCAGTAGAAGTAGCAGCGCACCCGCGCCCGCGGTCGACGACAGGTGGGCCACGGTGGCGTCGGCACTACCCCGGCATGCTCAAGCAGGCGACGGACGCCGCGTCGAAGATGCAGCCGGAGAACATTGAGAGGATGATGGGCATCCAGCCACTGCCGCCCGGCGCGGGCGCCAAGTCTGGAGCACCTCTTGAAGAATCCAGAGCCGATGAAGAGCGACGGGCAGCCTCAAAGCAATGCCAGGGGACGAGCGCAGGAAGACGCTGGCCGCGCGTGGCCTCGCCAGCGGAGGCGGTGACGGCGCGCCCGCGACGCCGTCGCCTTCCGACGCCTCGGCGCTGTTCGACAACCCCGAGATGTTGCAGCAGGCTCTCGGCACGATACAGGGCATGAGCGACGCTGACCTGAGCTGGCTCGGAGTCAACGGTGCGGAGGAGGGCAAGGCCATGCGAGGGGCGATAGCACGCATGACCCCGAATCACGACATGATGAGGCCGATGCCGGAGATGTTGAAGAACAGGAACCCCGGGCAGATACAGGGCGTGATGGCCATGAGCGCGAAGTTGAGAGGTGGCGGCGAAGGAGTTGCCCCGGGTGACAGAAGATCTGGAGACGGTCCGTCAGACGTGGCCTCGGCGATGAACACAAGCAACAGAGGACACGATGAAGATCATATCACCGGAGATGATGCAGTCCATAATGTCCACAGAGATGTTGCAGTCCATCTCCGAGAGCAGCGGCGTGGATATCGACAAGGGCAGGGCCAAAATGATTTCCAAGGTGTTGCCTTGGGCGCTGCTCTGGCTGATGCGATTCATGCGCTGGTTCGGCTACCTAAGAGGTATCTGGTCCTCTCCATGGAACCGAAAGCGAAAGGGGGTGAGCGTCTTGGCGCGACTGTCATCGCCATGGTGCAACACTAACGCGGTTGTTGTCCGCACCTGTTGTCTCCCCTGCCCCTTCGGCAGGGCGCGACGCTCACACGGGTTGCGCCTAGTTGTCCCAAGGTGCTTGCTCGATTTGGTAGGCCGCTCACGAATCGGCGAAGTCTAGCTATGTAAGGCGCCATCCGGTCTGTGGGCGGCCCGAGGTAGTGATTGACCCGAGTTGTCACCCTCACGTCAAGGTTGAATAGGATGTCCATGTGCGTTCGCACCCTCCTCCTGCTCTCCCTCCACTTCCACGCAGATCCTCCTCCTGTTTGTCCTTTCTAGCGTCATGTTCCGCCGCATCCCTCCCCTACTTATCCGTGCCGTCCCTCTCTTCTTATGGATATCCTTCCCATTATTTATCCTGCTTCCGCCCCTCAATTCCATCCTCCCCTATCACCAGCGTGGTCGTCACCACCGTCCTCATCCTCTCTTCCGCGGCTCCGTCGCAGCGGTGCCGGGAGGCCCCGGGCGAATTCTGCTTGGTTGCTGCTTTTCTCCCCGATGGCAGAGGGCTGCTGCGCCGCGTGGGCTGCGAAGATCTCGGCCCGCCGGCCAGCCGTCCGACCAGGGAAGGTTCCTGGGCGCTCTGGGACGCCTCGCAGCGTGGCAAAGAGTTTCCTCCCCCCAGGAACGCCAACGTGACGCCCTTTTCACGTGACTTCTTGCTGCTCCCCCACCCCCCTCCCTCCTCCTCCTCCTCCTCCTCCTCCTCCTCCTCCTCCTCCCTCCTCCTCCTCCTCCTCCTCCATATCCAACTCCGACTCTCTCCTCCTCCTCCTCCTCCCTCCTCCTCCTCCTCCCCCTCCTCCTCCTCCTTCTCCTCCTCCTCCTCCTCCTCCTCCTCCTCCTCCTCCTCCTCCTCCTCCTCTTCCTCCTCCTCCTCCCCAGGGGGCTGGATACGTCGGTGACGCCGAGGTTTTGGAAGATGAGGGCTTTGGGCTCGGAGAGCTCAGGCCATGGACTCTGTCGGGCCACTCGAGTTCGGAAGCAGGGATACCAGGCAAAGATCCACTGTCCAGTCCTGTTTTGCACTACCTGCTATCCTTTTGCGGTGGACACGAAGCTGAAGGGCCTCTGCAAGCTTTACAACAACAGCAGCAGCAACAACAACACTATTCATGTTAAGACTGTTCGCTCCTACCTGCTGGCGTGCCATTCACCACATGTCTATCCCAAACCCTCGGTACCCGCCTTTTTCGTCTTCGATCGTACCCCTCGGGGGTATGCCTGCCTTACCTGTCACGTGCAAGTAGCGCAGGCCCTAAAACAGGGGAAGAGAGGATGGATGAAGAGGGAGGGATAAGGATGGAGCACGAGAGAGATTAGCAGGAGGGAGGCTAGGAGAAGAAAACACGTGGCAAAACCAGACGGTCTGATCGGGCGAGGCAGACCCTAGCGGGCGGGTCGGAAAGCGGGCCCAGGTGGCCACGTCGAGTAGGCGGATTGCTGAAACGTGAATCCCATATGGATCGCGAGGAAGTCTCGAACGACACAGCGATTCCTAAGTAAATATTGGGAAAGGCCAAAGCGAGAGCGTGATTCCTGAGTGTCAAGGGCGCGGCGGTTGAATATTTTGGGAGGGGGTCTCACGCGAAAGCACGATTCCTGCATATATCGTGACAGCGTCCCGCGCGAAAGCGCGATGAGTCGGGGGTCAGGAGCCCAATCTGAGCTTCAAGGTTTTCCCTTGTTAAAAACACTGCGCGAGCCCCGGGAGGAGCAGCACTTTATTTGAAAAGTGCAATTGCCGTTGGAGAGCGAACCAACAATACTTATGGTTTAGAAATGAGAACTCAACATCAACACCACCACCACCAGCAACAACCACAACTATTACAACGACTAAAACAGCATACATGCATACGTACATGCATGCAGGCATACAAACGCACATACAAACATACAGACAGACAGACAGACAGGCAGGCAGACAGACAAACAGACGGACAGGCAGACGTTCTTACATACGTACATACCTGCACACATACATACCTGCCGCGTGTAAGTGGTTCCGCCCATAAAACAGGGGAAAGAGAGGAGGGATGGAAGGGGGAGGGAGAAGGATGGAGCACGGGATTCGTAGAAAGGGGGCCAGGAGCAGAAAACACGAGGCAGAACCAGACGAGTTGATCGGGCGGGTAGACCCTTACGGTCGGGTCGGGAAGGCGGGCCCAAGCGGCCAGGAAGAGCAGGCGGGTTGAAGCGTGAGTACTGCATGAATCGCGAGGAGGTCTCGAGCGACAGCGCGATCCCCAAGCGATTCGCGAGAAAAACCAAAACGAGAGCGCGATTCTTGAGCGTCGAGGGCGCGGCGTCTGAATATATTGCGAAGAAGTCCCACGCGAGAGTTCGATTCCTGCACACATTGTGAGGAAGTCTCGCGCGCGAGCTCGATTTTGAAATGCAATCTGAGGAAGTATCAGGCGCGAGCCGTTGTTGCTGTAACCCGTGGGCTCACAACGCAGTTTGGTGACCCCACATTGTCCTTTGTAAGAATCAAAGTGCGAGCCCCGGTAAGAGTATTTTCATTGACAAAACGCGACGGTCACCAGGCAGGGGGACCAACACGAATTATTATTTTGACATGGGAACTCAACAACAACAACAACAACAACAACCATTTTAAGGCTGTACGCTCTTACTTGCCCGCGAGTCACTCAACACGTATACCCTACACCCTCGATGCCCGCCCTCTTCGTATTCGATCACACCCTTTTCGGGGGATTATTTCTCTTTGCTGGGGCCGGCGGGCTTAGACGTACGGGCAAACCGGAACGGGCGGACAATCCTTCGGGGGCGTACATCTCTCTGCCCGCCATTGGAATTGGCGCGGGCCCTGCAAGAGGAGGAGGGGAAGAACGAGGGAGAGTGGGAGGAAGGGGAGGGGGAAGGACGAAGGCAGAGGGAAGATACCACGTTGTGAAGGCGTCCTTGGCGCGCGCGTGGTTCCTGAGCGCCGAAACGCAATTCCAGAATAATTTGTGAGGACGTCGCACGCGAGAGCGCAGTCCTGAGTACATTGTGAGGAAATCTCGGGCGGAAGCGGGGGCCCTGACTAAGTTGCGAGGAAGTCTCAAGCGGGAGCGCCGTTCCTGAGCAAATTGCACGGAAGTCTCAGGCGGGAGCGGGGGTCCTCACTAAATTGCGAGGAAGTCTCAGGCGGGAGCGCCGTTCCTGAGTCAATTGCGCGGAAATGTCAGGCAGGAGCGGGGGTCCTGAGTAAAATACGAAGAAGTCTCAGGCGGGAGCGCCGTTCCCATGTAAATTGCACGGAAGTCTCAGGCGGGAGCGGGGGTCTTGATTACATTGCGAGGAAGTCTTAGACGGGAGCGCATTTCCTGAGTCAATTGCGCGGAAGTCTTAGGCGGGAGCGGGGGTCCTGAGTAAAAATCGATGAAGTCTCAGGCGGGAGCCGTTGTTGTTGTAGCCCGGGGGGCAGGGACACAGTTTGAGCAGGAAGATTTTCCTTGAGAAAAAACAAAGTGCGAGCCCCGGGGGTGGCACTTCAATCGAAAAAAATCAATGTGCACCGGTGGGGGGGATCAACAATAATTATTCTTCAAGAATGAGAGTTCAACAACAGCAACAGCAACAGCAACAGCAACAACAACAACAACAACAACAACAACAACAACGACAATCATTTTAAAACCGTTCGCCCTTATATGTTCGAGTGTCCAAAAAAGCGTATTTCCCAAACCCTCGATACCCGCCTTCTTCGTCTTCGATCAAACCCCTTTTGGGGGGTATACTTTTCTTCCCTGCAGGCCGGGCCCCGGCAAGCGGCGGGGTGGCCGCGGACCGTCGGCCTGGCCAGCGGCAGCGCTGATCGGCGGGGCGGCCGCGGACCGCCGACCCGACCCCAAGAGGGACGGACAGGGTACCGACCACGACGACGACGACGACGACGACGACGACGTCGAAGACGACGGCGACGACGGCGACGACGAGCGAAAGCGAGAGCGAGAGAGAACGACAGCAGGGCCACGAAGGGAACGAAGTAGGCCACGAAGGGCGACAGCGGGGACACGAAGGGAATGCGTATGGGGCCACGAAGAGTGCGAACGAGCGGGGGCCACGAAATGCAGATAATGCGGGGCCACAGAAGGCAACTATGGGGCCACTGACGGTAGCAACTGGGCCGCGTCGGACAATGAGGGGGGCACAAATGGCGACAGCGGGCCAGGCATGCACATGGGGCCACAACGGGCGCGACTCCTGGGTGCCTGGGTGTCGGGAGCGCGGCGCTTGGGCAAATCGCAAGAAATTTCAACGCAAAGCTATTCTTTAGTAAGTTGCAAGCAAGTCTCCAGCGAGAGCGCGACTCCAGAGCTCCGGGAGAGCGATTCTTGAGTAAATTGTAAGGAGGTCCCAAGCGAGAGCGTGATTCCTGAATAACAGGCGAGGAAGTCTCGGGCGGGAGCGGGGGTCCTGCCTAAACTGTAAGGAGGTCTCAGGCGGGAGCCGTTGGCGGGAGCCGTTGTTGTTGTAACCCGGGGGCCAGGGGCCCAGTTTGAACAGGAAGACTTTCCCTGACAAAAAAACTGGGTGCGAGCGTCGAGGGGCACACTTCGATTGAGAAAGAACAGCATGCACCGGTGGGGGGGGGGCAACTATAATTATTCTTCAGAATTGAGAATTCAACAACAACAACAACAACAGCAACAACAACAGCAGCAGCAACAGCAACAGCAACAGCAACAACAGCAGCAGCAACAACAACAACATCAATAATAACAACAACATCAGCAGCAACAGCAACAACATCAACAACCATGCTCGAGTACCATCCAACATGTATTTCCCATGTCCTCGATACCCGCCCTTCTCGTTTTCGATCGCACCCCCTTTGGGGGGTATCTTTTTCTTCCCTGCAGGCCAGGCCCCGTCGAGCGGCGAGGCGGCCGCGGACCGTCGGCCTTGCCAGCGGCAGCGCTGACCAGCGGCAACCCGACCCCAAGAGGGACGGACAGGGGGCCGACCGCGACGACAATGACGACGACGACGACGATGAGCGAAAGCGAGAGCGAGAGCGACAGCGAAAGCGAGAGCGGGGCCACGAAGGGCATTGATGGGGCCACGAGGGCAGCAAAGGGGCCACGAACGGCGACAGCGGGGCCACGAAGGGCACGCGCATGGGGCCACGAAGGGCGCGAACGAGCGGGAGCCACGAAGGGCATATAATGCGGGGCCACAGAGGGCAACGACGGGGCCACTGAGGGTAGCAACGGGACCACGAAGGGCATCAAGGGGGCCACGAAGGGCAGCGAGGGGGCGACGAAGGGTTGCAACGGGGCCACGAAAAGGCAGCGAGGGTGCCACGAAGGGCTGCAACGGGGCCACGAAGGGCAGCGAGGGGCCACGAACGGGTGCAACGGGGCCACGAAGGCCAGCGAGGGGGCCGCGAAGGGCCGCAACGGGGCCACGAAGGGCAGCGAGGGGGCGACGAAGGGCTGCAACGGGGCCACGAAGGGCAGCGAGGGGGCCACGAAGGGCTGCAAGGTGGCCACGAAAGGGCAGCGAGGGGGCCACGAAGGGTTGCA